GAAGACCTAGCGGGCAGGAAGGAATTGTCGGATGGCACGGTGGACTCAGAGGTGTTCACTGGAGAGCAGAAAATTGAGCTTGAGCAGATGATGAAGCAGCAGCTGGCGCAGACGGAGGCCATGCTGCTGAAGTACCTAGGCAAACACGGCGCGAGCGAGAAGGAAGAGGGTGCTGACCGGCGACCTCGCGATCCGTGGGATTCAGATGACCCGTGGAAGGGTCAAAGTCGGTCGGAGAGCCAGGGCGGAGAAAGAAGATAATGGTCTCAAGAAGAATGGGACGAGTGGAAAAAGGCCAAGGGCGGCAGGTACGAGAGCGACTGGAAGGACCAGAAGTGGGAGAAGGGCGACTACACGGATCCGGAGGCCTTCATGGGCTGGTCAGACTATAGATTGTGGCGTCGCCGAGTGGTCAGGTGGCTCGATCAGACAGACGTACCGCCGAGGAAGAGGTCCGACAAGATCCTGAAGGTATTAGACAGGGACTTGCAGAGAAAATTCGAGGATATCTCAGACGCAGTGTTGCAGTCAGCTGAAGGGCCGATGACGATCATCAAGCGACTCGACATTATGAGCGGACAACGCATGGACGACGAGAAAAGAAGAGCGGGCCGAGAATGCTTGATGGGATATCGACGCAAAGCGGATGAAACCCTCTCAGTATACACGGCAAGGATGGACCAGAACTTCGAGAGGCTGAAGGGCCAGGGGCTCGAATTAGACGACAGCTGGAACATATTATTTCTTGAAGAAGGCATAGGACTGGATGAGAGCGGGATGCAGATGCTGAAGGTCATGAGCCGCGGCTCCAAGGACTACGAGGAAGTGATCGGCGCGGCGAGAGAGATGGACGTGACACGCAACGAGCATCTCGGCGCCCGGACGGGCAAGGCCACGGCGGCGACCTACGCACTACAGGATGATGACGACGACCTCTGCGAGTACAGCGACGTATCTTCCATGACGTCGGAGCAGGAGGCTTTCGTGCTGGAGTCGATCGCCGAGGCCGACGTAGACGAGTACGAGTTACCAGAGGTGCTGGCGACGTTGGAAAAGGACAGAAAGAAGACGTGGAAGGAGAACCTGGACTACAAAAGGCAGCTTCGAGTGGATAGAAAATTCTACCAGACCCCGGGGGGGCCTTCGGGCTCCAGGGCGCCGGCACCGCCGCCGCCGCACCCGGGGAGACGTGACGGACTACATCGGAGTGCGAAAGGGATAGTTCGTGAGCGGAAGAGGAGACTTCCGATCGAGAAACTAATGAAGATCACCAAGTGTCATCGATGCCACAAGAAGGGACACTGGAGCCGAGAATGCCCCGAGAAGGGAGACTCGACGGGGGCCGCAGCGGGAAGCGGGTTCGTGCTGCTCAATGAATCGGAGCCGAGCTACGCGATCCTGGCCTCGGAGAATATCAACTCGATCAACGCGCGCGGGTTGATTCACCAGGTTGTGGACCGCATCAGATCCGAGAAGGTCGAGGCCATGAGCCTGCTGGTCACAGGCTCGGGGGACATCGTGGTGGACACGGCGGCGGGCCAGGCGCTGATCGGGCCGCAGGCACTGCAGAGGCTGGAGAAGCGTCTCGGCGAGCTGGGCTTCCGAGTGGTTCGGGTCAAGAGCAAGCGCCAGTTCGCGAGAGGTGTCGGCGGGAAGACGCCGGTGCAGTCAGGACTCCTGGTCCCCACAGGCATCGAGGGCAAGACAGGCATCATGGAGCTGGACCTGATCGAGCAAGACGTGCCGGCCCTGATGCCGATCAGTATGCAGGAGCAGATGAAGGCAGTGATCGATCTCCCGAAGGCCGAGATGACTCTGAGGGCGCTAGGGGTGACCACCAGCTTGAAGCGGCTGTCGAGTGGTCATCGCACGATCGCGATTGACAAGCTCGGCAGCCCAGAGGGTTTTGAGCTTCCGGAGGCTGTCCGGAAGCGTTTCGGACTGCAGGCGTCTGACTTTCGCCTGAGCTCGAGCGAGAGCTACGTGCTTCCTCCTCCCGCTCGGTCGTCCTCCCTCGTGTCGTCCATGTCGTCTACGGAACAGTCGACTCGGAAACCCAGGGCCGATTGGGCTCGTATCGAGAAAGACCCGGCCTCGCTATCGAAAGTGATCAGCAACGACACCCAGAAGCATCAAGGAGGACCTCCAAGTGCAGGTGAGCACCTCTTTCCCCCCCCCTCTGGTTCTGGAGGCCCTCGAGGCGTTCCGGGAAACTCAGAGGCCTTTCGGCGGATGTCTTGGGAGGCGGTCTCTCCTACTCATTTTTCGTCCCGTCGTCGACGTCGTGATCCGACGCAGGTGGCCATTTCTGGGCCGAGCGGTTTGAGGGGGGCGTTTCGAGGCGCTTTCTCTCACACGGGCTGCAGATGCCATGGTGACGTACTGGAATCGAGCCGAGAAAACGTTTCTGCAGGCGATGACGGGCTCCACCGCGAGCGACAGTGGCGAGCCGCAGTGCGTCAAGTACTTGCTGACCGGAAACGAGTATCCGAACGGGCTGTCGGTGGGAGACAAGTTCTGGGCGTACCTCAGCTCCAGGATCGTGGCCGATCACCAGCACAAGGGGCTGAAGCTGCTGCGCATGTTCCAGAACGGCCACCAGTGGCCAATCAAGACCAAGAAGGCGGACAGGTTCTACACGGAGCGCCAGATGAAGTGCAGTCATTCCTGGGCACGTCTCATCAGTTTCGGCAATTCCCACGGCAGTTGGGAAGTCTGCGGGGACTGCGACATGAGGGTCTCGTACTTCCAGAAGGCGTCCGTCATCTACAAGGGGAAGGGCAAGTCGCCTCAGAGCGGCTCGACGGTGCTGAACGTGAGCGACCTCACCAAGCCCCCCGGGGGCAGAGCATCGGTGAGGAACTCGGTAGAGTGCACGAGGGTCGCTCTCATGACGACGACGAGCGACCGGGGGCCGACCCAGGGCTCGGAGGAGCCGATGAGGGTGAAGAAGCGCTCCGAGGAGATGGTGCAGTATCGGGCTTTGGAGGCGCCCATGGAAGTAGACAGCGCAGGTCCAGCACGCCCTCGCCAGCACGCCCCTCGTGCGTCGCTGATCAGCGAGATCAAGAGCATGAAAGAAGAGATGACCAACCAGAATCACGGCCTGCTCGCCCTGGTGGTGGAGCAGGGAAAAGCCATTCAGCACATCCAGGCGGCGCAGCTCGGCATCCAGGAGAAGCAGGCCATGATGGAGAGGCAGATGGCGATCGAGGACCAGCCGAAGACGCTGCCGCCGCAGGTGCCGGCCCAGGCGGTGTTCCCCGTCGGGTGGGAGACGATCGAGTCGCCTCCGACCGCCGGCAGTGCCGGCAGCGGACCAAGCAGTCCCTGAAGGACGGCAGGTGCTCGTACGGCCTGAGTGAGCTGCCCGAGGCGGAGAGCCTCGATCGGATTCTAAGCAGCGCCGGATGGCGAGCGCACGAGACTTTCTTTTTCCAGGAAGAAGCGCCCCACTATCTTGGGGAGGACGGGAGGATGAACCTGATTAGAAGGCCAGATGGAGTGTGGGCGACGGAGAAGGAGGGGAGCGCTTCTCCAGACGACCAGGCAGAGCGCTTGGTGGCGATGTCCCTGCCTGTTTGGCGGGATCTGTTGCTCTCAGGCGAGTTTAATGACGATTTCGAGGCGATCGCCTCCAGGAGGGAAAAGAAAGCATGTGAGAAGGCCCTGCGCTTCTCGGCAGGACCATCCCACGGTGAAGGACGGCTTCCAAGAGGGGCGCAGCTTCCACCAGAGGGGCAGCTTCCAGGAGGGGTGCAGCTTCCACCAGAGAGACAGCTTCCAGGAGGGGGGCAGCTTCCATCAGACGGACAGCTTCCCCATCCGGAACGAGAAACTCAGGGACCCTTCGAAGACCGACCTCAGGGGGCATCCACCCGCTCCCCGGCTTGCCTAGCGGCTGTCCGCAGTCAGACCCCCAAGTCCGAGAGACTCGATGCCTCCAGGAGACGGCAGTGGGCCGACAGGGCCTTTGTCGAGGTGTATTCTCCTCCTCGGATCGGTCCCGAGGTCCAGAAGCGCAGGATGGGATGTCTCGGGA